TGCGCGGCCGGCGGCGCCGGCGGGGGCTGCTGCGGCGGCGGCGGCGGCGGGGGCGGCGCCTGCTGCTTGGACATCCACACGTGGCCGGCGGTCGCCGGGGTGGCGGCCGTGCTGCTGATGCCGTAGCTGCCCGTGTAGCTGACCTGGCCGTGCGTGGCCGGCACCCCCGGGTGGCCGTTGGGCGGCAGGTACTGGTCAAACTCGTTGACGTCGAAGGTCTCGATGTTGGAGATGACGTCGCTGCTCAGCTCGCCGATGTCCACGTCGCGGAAGTCGATGGGGGGCTGCCGGCCCCCCTCGGCCAGGGGGCGCCCCTCTCGCTTCAGGTCGACCTTGCCGGCTTGCACGTCGGTTTTGGGAGTGGTGGGTGGGGTCGGCGGACCCTGAGATTGCCCTGCAGGCCATAGAAGAGGAAGACAGACCGTGAAAATGAAGCCCGCGCTGTGCGGTGCCCGCGGTCTCAGCAGCCCCCCTGGGGACCCTCCCTGGTTGCCAAGGTGTCGCTAGGACCCGCTCCCGCGCTGGAGGCGCGCCGCGCCAGCGATAAGCCGCGGAATGATTAACCCGCAGGTACACATCAGGCAAGCTCCTTTTATCAGGGGAAGGGGCCGAGGTCCCAAGGGTCCGGAAGACCGAACTGCTACCTGTGGGAGAGTGTGTGCTTTGGGGGCGAGGCGCGGAGAGAAAAGTGGGGAAGTTTCGTAAAGCTACTGAGACAGGTTAGCCTGCAATCAAGAACCCAGCTCAGGATTCAGGGGTTCGGTTCTTTCTTTCTGTCTCTGTCTCTCTCTCTGTCTCTGTCTCTGTGTGTGTGTGTGTGCGCGCGCGCGCGCCCTGGACAGGGAGGGCGCGCAGGGAATAGCGTTTCCCTACTCCAGGTTGTGCAAAGCCCCCACCTAGATCCTCTCCGGGGGAGGGGGCTGCCTTAAGGGTGTGCCAGGAGGAGCCCGGGGTGGCCAGGCCTAGGCACCCCTCGCGCCTCACTCACCCGAGTGCTCGCCCGGAGAGTGCACCTCACTCATGCCGGAGGAGGAGTGCGGGGAGTCGGCCTGCAGTGCCTTGAAGATGGCGTTGGGGGAGATGTGGGTCTGTTCCGTGGCCTCCTCGGCCTCCGCCTGCCCGTTCTTCACCGACTTTCTCCGTCGCGGCTGGTACTTGTAATCGGGGTGGTCTTTCTTGTGCTGCACCCGCAGACGCTCCGCCTCCTCCACGAAGGGTCTCTTTTCGCTCTCGTTGAGCAGTCTGGGGAGAGGGGGGGGGCAGAAGAAAAAAGGGAGAGGGGGGTCAGTGAAACCCCGGGAGCTGTCAGGTCCACACCCCTCCTCCGCGCACTCCCCCTCCTCCCTCCAGCCAGCGTTCCGTCCTCCTCCGAGACTCGGAACTTTCCTTTCTTTCCTTTTCTCTTTTCTTTTTCTTTTTTTTTTTTTTTTTTCAAAAGGGCTTGGAGTCGACCTGAGCGGTCACTCTTCGCCCCGCCCCCTCCCCTGGCCTCCTATTTTGGAAACCCTGAAGATGAAAATAGCTCCCTGCTGGGGCTGCTCTAAACGCCTTTGCTACCGGAGCGGTCCACCCCTCCCAACACGCTGTAAAAACTTTCCGAAAACCTACTTAAATTGCAAGAAGCTCGCCCTGTCGGTCCACGCCCCTGCCAATTCTCAGCCGCTTTCCCCAGTTGCTGCCCGAGACCCCTCCAGCCTCGGCTACGTTCTCCCTTCCACCCGTCTTCCCAGGAAAGAGCGCAGCTGGGCAGGGCGGGTGGGCAGGGGGTCCGGCCTGCTTCCTCTAATTGTTCCTTTCGAGGGGACTGGGCTGGCACACCGCTCACTCCCCCCCCCCCCCCCCCCGCCCCGGGGGCCCCCCCCCCCCCCCCCCCCCCCCCCCCCCCGCCGTCTCCAGGCGCAATCCCAAGCAAGAACTTTCTCAAACTCTGAGCCGAGCTCACCCGTCCCCCGTCCACCCCCCCCATCCCCTCTGGGGTCCCGGCTGGCAGACCCCAAGATCCGCCGCTCCTTGGCTCAGGGAGGCGGGGCGGGGTCGGCGAGTGCAGCCCGCGTCCCGGTAGCCACGGAACCCACCCTGCCCGCCCTCCCCGCGCGCGCGCGCGCGCTCACCCACCTCCAGAGCTTGCCCAGCGTCTTGCTGAGCTCGGCGTTGTGCAGATGCGGGTACTGGTCCGCCAGCTTCCTGCGCGCAGCCTGCGCCCACACCATGAAGGCGTTCATGGGCCGCTTGACGTGTGGCTTGTTCTTGCTGGAGCCGTTGACGCGCACCGGCATGGGCACCAGCGTCCAGTCGTAGCCCTTCAGCACCTGGCTGACCGCCTCGCGGATGCACACGGGGAACTTGTCTTCCTCGTTCTCCTTCTTCAGATCCGGCTCGCCCTTGGGGAAGGTGTTCTCCTGGGGCCGTGTGTTCTCCGTGTCGGAGCCCGAGCCCGAGGGGCAGGGCGAGCCAGCCGAGTCCTCGGACATGGTGGGGCTGGGGGCTCCGGACAGGCCCTTCTCCTGCTCGTCGGTCATCTTCATGAAGGGGTCGAGGAGATTCATACGCGAGCCCGGGGCAGGGGGCGGGTGGCCGGGAAAGGCGAGAAGCCGCGGCGGCTGGGGCTGCCCGGAGGCGGACGCCGAGCGAGCGGCTCCCGGGGACGCTGGCGCGACACCGGGCTGCGGGCACTCAGCGGAGGCGCTCGGGTGGCCGGTGCTCGGCGGCCCGCTCCAGACCCGGGGAAGGCGGCTCGCGAAGGAGAAGGAAGGGGAGACAGAGAACGAAACCGGGGCCGCTCTCGCCCCGTCTCTCTTGCAAAGAAAAGTTCCTGGACTGAAAAACTGCTCAAGCTGTCGCCCCACGGCGGTTCCCAGGCGGTTCCGAGCAGCGCTCTCGGCTCTCGGACTCCCGGCCCCGGGTCTCTTTAATAAATACAACCCCCTTCAACATAGAGGCCCGGGGCCAATCACGGCTCGGCAGTCAGCAGGGCTGGCAAGTCGCTGATTGGACCCTGTGTCGGAGTGGGGGGGAAGGAGGATGGTGGCTCCGGGTTGGGTGACGAGACACGAGGGGAGGAGAAGAGAGGGGAGCGCAGCGGGAGGGTGGATGGTGGGGTGAGGGGACTTGGAGGGAGGGGGGCGCCGCAGGGCAGGCGGGGGACCCGGGGCGTCCGGGTGTGCAAGTTTGCTCTCTACTCTCGGAATGTCACAGTTTGGGAACAGTCTCCTCGTGAATCGGGGTGTGTGTGTGTGTGTGTGTGTGTGTGTGTGTGCACGCGCGTGTCTAGACTAGGACCCTTCCCCCCCACCACACACACACACACACGTCCCACTGCTTTTCGCTGCTGTCTCCGGGGTCCCCGGTACTTCGCAGGCGTTTACGGCGACCGAGCCGGCGACAGCTGCTCCGCAGTGCGGAGCTCGGCTTCCAAAAAAAAAAAAAAAAAAAAAAAAAAAAAGTGCTTAGAAATGGTCTTTTGGAAGCAAGTGTTTGGGTGACTCAACGCCCGCTGTTCCTTCGTAATAATCCACATAAATAGATTAACGCGCCCGCTTCTCCGAGGCTGGCGCGGCGGCCGGAGCCTCTGCCGCGCTCCTGCAGCGGGAATCAATGAAACCCCAAAGCTGGGCGAAGCTGGGCGCCGGCCGGCGAGGGCGGGCGGCGGGGAGCGCGGGGTCCCCGGCTCCCGTGCGCCACGCCGACCTTGAACTGACAAGTCCCTCCCGGGCCCCGTCGGCGCTCTGCCGCCCCTCGGCGTCGGGGTTGTTACTCTGGAGGGCCGCTCCTCGCCGGCTGGCGGAGTCGCGAACGTCAGCCGGGTCGCCACCGGACTTTCAAAAAACAAAAAACAAAAAATCGCTCCGGGGTGGACGGTGGAGTTTGCAAAGGTGGCGGCGCGGGGCGGGCGAGGCCGGAGAGGCCCGGCGCGCACGCTGGAGGCTCCAGGCCAAACGGGCCACTCTGGCGGCGCCCTGCGGCTCCCTCGCTGGGGCCCTCCTTCCCCAGACAGTCCGGAGGGCGAAGCGCTGGGCGTCTGGACTTTAGTCCCATCCTTCCAGACCTGCGCACAGGTGGGCGTTCTGGGGGAGGCCACGTAGGTGTCCGTTGTTCTTTAAGAGTGCTTGCAGCCGACAGCTCGGAGCTCGCTCGCTCAGAGCAAGGCTGGGCACCAGAGGGGTTCTCTTTTTTCTGGAACGAACAAAAATCTTAGTTGCCCACCGGGGTGACGTGCCCTCGGGACCACAAACAAACCCACCATGGCGTTAAATACAAGAACAACTCGATTTAACCCTCCCTCCCTTCTGGTTCTTGCAAAACTTTGCTTTGAACTTCTTAAATTATTGATAAAGTGAATCGGCCTGTATCATATAAAGAAAAAAAAAAACAAAACAAAAAACAACAACACAGGTTCCCCTCATCCCCTCAAATTTGAGAAGTGGGGACGCTTAGATATAAACGACTCTTTTCCTTGGGATGCTTTTGGAAAGCTCGTCCCCCCCCCCCCCCGTTTTCTTCCGAAGTGGGCATTTGTTACACAGGGAAAGGAACCCCTGACCAGGCTGTAAAGCTGCGGCTCTGTTCGGTCGGGTTTTCCTTTCAAACGAATTTTACTCGCCTTGCGCGACTCTAGAACCTTACAGTCTGTTTACGAGTTAAGGGTCACGCAGACAACAGCCATGCATTCGTAGCTCCGTTTATTCCACACAACGTGTGTAAGAAAAAAAAAAAGATATTTTTTTTCTTTTCAGAGTGTGGGTCAGGTTTTGTCGGTGTGGACATATTTCTGTGTCCTAGGGAGCAGGTACTTGTGTGATCCTCAGACACCCGTTGAAGAGACCAGAGACCACTGGCAGATGTATGAAGCCAGCGAGTTGTAATTTGTTATAATTACCACGTCTTCTGGCACAAAGGCAACGAAAACGGCTGTGGCTTTAAGGCATTTTGAAATATTTCATTAAACATTTGTTCATGAATACTTACATTTATAAATATACCATTAATTCAACATATGGAGAGATGTAATGTACTACTAGGCTTTAAATCATGAAACTCCTTAACATGCGTCTACCCCTCCACGCGAGAGTTTTTACGTTCTTGAGTCTTTTTTTGGGGGGGGGGGGGAAGAACTTTTTCAACTGTTGCAATTAAAAATTGTGCTGCAATTTTCGGCAGCATCCAGAGGGGGCGCCAAAAGCCCAGAAACCGTGTGGAGCTCTGAGAAACTGCTGGAAAACTTTGGCTGTGGTGGAGGGGCAGGGGCGCGGGTGGGGGAGGTGGCGGGGGTGTGCTGTACGCGGTCTCCAGGAGGAGACTTATCTCTACAGGAATTCCTATGCCCCTTCTCTCCCGTGCGGACACGACTGTGCGCGGCCTGGTTAGCGGGGACCTGGGAAGTGCTTGTGTTCAGGGGGTGGGGGCAGGGAAGGCGCTGCGGCCTCTACCCCCAACCCCCCTCCCCAGTCCCCCGGTGTTTCTCTTTTGCACACCACCTGGAGAGTGAGGGAGGTGTCCCCCCCT